GGGTTGCCCCTGGGTTTGGATGTTCTTTTCTTGGGGCCTGCATTTAACCTGTGCTGAATTGAGCTGTGATTGCACAGGCCATCCTCGTGTCCCCTCTCTTCACACAGCATGGCTTAGAGCCCCTCGTTCCAAGGTCCTGCCCCAGGTCCAACCTCCTCTCAAGGTGATCCAGCCCCTGACATCTGGGCCACATACAGCCCAGATCGGCCACTGTGAAGGGATCAGCCACTTATTCCTTTTGATGTCCTCTGTGCCTTTCACCATGACCCTTACCCCAAGACCACTTGGCAGATATCTACAGGGGTGGTGGCAGTGATGGACATCTCCCAGGAGGCCACAGCATGAGGGCTGTTCTCATTTTCAACTTTCTACCACAGTTGACCCCAGATTTGAGATGATCATAGTGANTGATGAACTGGTCCACACAGCAGCCCCACAGTACAGGCTGGGGCTGGGCTTCCTGTTTGATTGGGGAAGACCTAAGACACCTCTGGCCTCCCGCATGGTCACCCTGCAGCTGGGTTGACAACTTTTCCCAGGAAGAGTAAGCTCTGAGTGGTCACCTCCCAAAGGAGCAGCAGGAAAGGTCTGTTGAGATGGGCTCGTGGGGCCCATGTTGCATTCAGAGATGGGGGTTGGGAGAGGAGGCCCGAGGCTGTCCCCACCCTGGTTCCCTTGTCACTGATGTTCACCACCACCTTGTGTGACACCTAGAAGGAGAGAAGAGAGGACAGAGACAGCATCACTTCAGGAGGCTTCGAGGGCAGACACCGCCTTCAGCGGCATCACTGTGGAGATGGAAGCAGAGCCACCCAACCAGGCCCCCAGGCCCTGCCTGCCCAGGAAGCAGCAGCACCCTTTATTTCATTCCCCTCCTCTCCACATTGTCTCTCCTCTGTCAAGCCCTGAGGGTTCACCCTGACAGTGCAGGTGGCTCTTGGACAGATGGATGCACCTGCGGAGGGCTGAGCCTCCTGAGCATGCACTAGGCTGCAAAACCCAGCAGCGACTGCAGGAGCGTATCTCAAGCACGTGGGTGCACCCCGCATGGGCCTGGGTGTCATTTTCCACTACAAGCTGCACTTAACCTCCCTAAGCCTCAGTTTTCTCATCTTTAAGATGGCTTGCTCAGCCTAAATTAGCGGTTTTCAAAATGAGCTCAGTGGAACCAGCATGTCTGATGCGCCAAGCCGTCTGCTGGCCTCTGTGCGAGGAACTCCTTTTATTTTTGTTTTAACCTCATTTGCACATAATTTCCTAGGAAGAAAGGTTTCTAAGGCTTTAGAAAAAGTTAAAAAAACAAAAATGATCTCTTTCATTTCTAAAAAGCTCTTTAGAAAGATAAATCTCGCATGTAAAGTTTCTGTGAAAGAAAGTCTTTAAAAAGCTAAACTATTTCTTTTGCTTCTTGTTCACCCTCTCGACATACACACACACACACACACAC